TGCTCACCAGGGAGTCTGTTTCTCCCTCTCCCTCTGTCTCTTCCCCCTGCTCGTGCTCTCTCTCTCAAATAAATAAATAAAATCTTTAAAAAAAAAAAAGGAATCTACAAGCAACTCTACACACATAAATTTGACAACTTAGATGAAATGGGACTAATCCTCAAAAAGCATGAATACAACTCACTCAATATGAAATAGATCTTTTTAATAGCCTTACGTGATTAAAGAAATGTAATTTGTAATTTAAAAAGCCCTCCCAAAAGAAATCTCCAGGCTACACAGTTCCATTGGGGAACTCTACCAAACATACAAAGAAGAATTAACACCAATTCTACATAATCTCTTCTGGAAAATAGAAAAGGAGGAAATACTCCCCAATTTATTCTGTGAAGCCAGTATTAGCCTGATGCCAAAACCAGACCAAGACAGTACAAAAAAGAGAAACTACACACCAATATCCCTCATTAATACAGATAAAAAAATCCTTAACAAAATATTAAGAAATAGAATTCAACAGTATATAAAATGAATTATATACCATGACAAATGGACTTCCTTCCAAGGTTGTGAGACTGGTTCAATATTCAAAAATCAATGTAATCTATCTACAAAACTAATGTAAATCATTTACAAAACCCCTAGAACCAACATTACACTTAATGGTGAAAAACATGCTTTCCCTTTAAGATCAGGAACAAGGCAAGGATGTCTGTTCTTACTACTCTTATTCAGTATAATGCTGGAAGGTATAGCCAGTGCAATAAGGCAAGAAAAGGCATACAGGGAAGGAAGAAATAAAAGTGTCCCCATCTGCAGATGTGATTATCCATGTAGAAAATTTCAAGGAATCTATAAGAAAACTCTTGAGACTTTGTGAGTTCAGCAAAGTCACAGGATACAAGATAAACATACAAAAATCAATTGTATTTCCATATACTAGCAATTAATATGTAGACACTGAAATTAAGATAAAATGTCACAATCATTCAAAAATAAATGAAGTTCTTAGATATAAATCTAGCAAAATATGTATAGGACTTATATTCTAAAACCTACATAATGCTGATGAGAAAAGTTGAAGAAAATCGAAATGAATGAAGAGACATACCATTTTCATGGATTAGAAAACTCAATATAGTAAAGATGTCAAATCTCCCCAAACTTTGGTACACAGGTTTGATGTAATTCCTATCAAAATCCCCAGCAAGATATCTTGTAGATATAGGGACAATTATTCTAAGATTTATATGGAAGGGCAAAGGAACATTGGCTAGAACAATTTAGAACAAAAAGAAGAAAGTGGGAGCAAACAGTCTTTCTGATTTCAGGACTTGTTGTATGCTATGTGGTACTGGCAGAAAAGCTGACACAAAGATCAGTGCAACAGAGCAGAGAACCCAAAAAACAGACCCATACAAATATGCCCAAGCTGAGTTTTGACAAAGGTGCAAAAGCAATTCAATGGACAAAAGATAGCTTTTCCCAACAAATGGTGCTGGGACTACTGGACATCTATAGGCAAAACCCCCAAAAAAACAAAAAAACAAAAAAAACCCCCAAAAACCACCACCAACAACAAAAACCCTCAACTGAAGTCTCACATCTTTTATAAAAATTAACTCCAACTGATCATGGACTCAAATGCAAAACAAAATGATAAAACTTCTTAGAAAACAGTCACAGGAGAAAATCTTTGTGTTCTAGGGCTAGGCAAAGAGATCTTAGCCTTGATACCAAAAACAAAATCTATAAAAGTAAAATGATAAATATGACTCATCAAAATTTCACCTCTCTGTGAAAGACCCTATTAAGAGAATGGGAAGACAACCTACACAGTGGAGAAAATATTTACAAACCACATACCCATCAAAGGACTAGTATTCAAAACTCAACAGCAAAAACCCCCACAATCCAGTTGGAAAATGGGCAAAAGACAGAGAAACATTTTACTGAAGAGGACATACAGATGGCAACGAGCTCATGAAAAGAGGGCACATCCTGCATGGAGCACTGGGTGTTATAGGCAAACAATGAATCATGGAACACTACATCAAAAAATAATGATGTATGGTGATTAACATAACATAATAAAAAAAAGATGCTACATTAGGGAAATGCAAGTTAAAACCACCATGAGATATGAAAACATAACTATCAGAGTGACTAAAATAAAAAACAGCAACACTAGCAAATGCTGGCGAGGAAGTAGAGAAACAAGACCACTCACACATTGCCGGCGGGGATGGACATGGTACAGGCACTTTGGGAAACAGTTTGGCAGGTTTTTTGTTTTTTTTTTTTTAAAGATTTATTTATTTCTTTTAGAGAGAGAGCACAAGTGGGAGAGGCAGAGGAGAAATGAGAGGCCCCCGGGCTCCACAACTGCTGCCTGGGCAGACCCAGAAGTCCAAGGAGGGACGCCAGTGAGACCAGGGCCGAGTGGCCTGATTAGCTGGGGAACATTCCCTAACCTCAGTGATGAGGGATTTTGTCCCCTGGGTGGATACAAAGGTAATTTAGAGCCTAGATTTGGAAGAAATGGGGACTGTGGATTCTGGTTTCAGGTTGAAATGCTTTTATTCCTAGTCCTGCTGCCCGTACCCAGAGGGTAGTTGTGAGACAGCCTGACTCTGCTTGCTCGGGAAGCATCTTTGAGGAGGGGGACCAGGACGCAAGGAAAGGGCAAGGCCACCTAAGGACCGGGTAAGTGACTGAAAACACCAGTGCGGAGACAGCATCTGGGGGACACTGGGCGACACTGGCTCCTTCCACTACTGTTCTCTTCTGACTCCACAGTCCCCCAGGGAGGCCCTGCCCCGGGGCTGGCTGGGTGTCGTCTCCTTGTCCTGTGAGGGAATGGGCCTTGGGGAGTGCCAGGGAAAAGTCCTTAAATAGTTTGGCGCCAGATTCCACGTCTCTCCACACCTGAGGTGGGTTCGCCAGCCGCTGGGATGAGGAACATGACAAGCTGGGGTGGGCGGCCTTTCTCGGCCCCCACGGGGCCTCGGGACTCCTACCAGAGCCACCTCCTCCATGTTGACGGTTGGGGAAATCTGGGGTACGTGTCCCCAAACAGCGTGTCCATGCTTACCTTCAACGACTCCACACACGTTGGCGTACACATCCAATATCTTTTTCCTTCGGCTTTGAATCTATGGGAAAAGTGAAGAGAATGTTAATTTTCAGAACAAGAGGAAGTGGTAGCCCACAAAAACATCAGTTCTCCATCCCGGTGTCGGCAGCTACTCTCCCCTGACTGGCGCCCTCACGTGACCATCTCATCAGGAAATTCGACCACTTCATTGTGCACAGAGGTGGGGCTACTCTTCGGCTCCATTGGACATTCAGGCTCACAAGACACCTGGCATCAGTCCGTGTGGGAGGGTGAGTGGCAGGGACCCCAGCTGGCCAGAGGGCGCCTGAGATGCTGTGGCTGTGTCTGCAGCCATCCACAGACTCTTCTCCCAGAGCACACATGAGGCCCATGCGGGATCCTGGCTGAAAGGTACCATACCCCACGGGAGCCAATACCCCTCAGAACAACTGCATGGGCCTCCAGGGTCCCTGCAAGTGATGGGTACCATCACAGATGTCCCTGAACTCAGGGCAGCCCAGAGCGTGTCATCCCTGTCCAGACCTAAGCCAGATCCAGCTTCCCAAGCGGGGATGTTTTCCCCATTAGCAATGTTACCTAGCAACACGCTGACCTACGCTTGGGTCAGGCTGCCAGTGAACCATGTGCTACGTGCTCAGGCAGCCTGGGCAGCGCTGTGCTCTTTTGCCCGCGCGTCCTGCCCTGCCACAGCACGTTCCCAGGTGGCCTGCTTTGGGTGACAAGCCCTCTGGGCAATTTTACATGCAAAACTGGGGCATATTGTGTATGTGTGTGTGTACACTATGGGTGTGTGTATGTATGTGTGAGTATGTACACTGTGTGTGTGTGTGTATATATATTTTTTGGTCTGCTTGGACACATGCCAGTATATTTACAAAGGTTTTTTCTGTCTTACGGTATTCCAAGCAATTTTAACTTTTCTCTTGGCTTACTATCTTTCATTTTCTTCTATAAAGCTAGATAAAGTTTCCTATTTTTTTGCTATCTTGTGTTAAGCCTGCCACTCTATCTAGGGTCCCGTGGTGGTCCCGCCTCCCGTCTCCGCCTCCCGGGGCTCCAACAAACGTGCGAGGAGCAGTGCCAGGGCCTCACCCCGGCTGACTTGGTGGCCGCCGACTTCTCCCGGGCCAGGTGAACCAGCGACAAGAGGCACAGCTCTGGGGAGCCCTGCTTGTCGGTGGCAGGCTCCTCGTCACTGTCCATGCTCCGGCTCAGCAGCTGCTCGTTCTCTGATGATGCGTCGTTCTCGCTGTGGGAACAGGAGGGTGTTTGTTAGCAGCGGCCCTGACACATTTTCCCAGTGGGAAGACGAATGATGGATCGATCGATGGGAATGCAGGGACTTGTTCCCCAAGCTTTTACTGAGCAGCTCCTGGGCATGAGGTGAGAGAGACATGCCGCACTCGCTACTCCTCCCAATGAGTGACCCGGATGCAGGGGGGCCTGCAGGTGTCCCGTGAGAGGACTCACAAGGTGTCTCTCGAGCCCCACGCGGCTGGGGTTCATCAGGGAGGGGGACAGCATCTGCTCGTCTGTTCCCCCGACCTGGCTCAGTTAAGCTTTCTTGAATATGTCCCAGCTTCCTATTTTTTTTTTTAAAGATTTTATTTATTTATTTGACAGAGACACAGCGAGAGAGGGAACACAAGCAGGGGGAGTGGGAGAGGGAGAAGTAGGCTTCCTGCTGAGCCAAGAGCCCGATGCGGGGCTCGATCCCACCAGGACCCTGGCACCATGACCTGATCCGAAGGTGGACACTTAATGACTGAGCCACCCAGGCACCCCTCAGCTTCTTATTTTTAATGCAGGCCAGCTCTAAGTTCAGCCTTGTTCTAAATGCAAACAGGTTTATGTGGCCGGCACTGAATCTGTGCAAGTTCTCTGGAACAACCCCAAACAGAGCTGAATGAGCCTGCCTGGGGAGCCCCCGTCTTGACTAGGGGGTGACCTGGCTGAAATGTGTGCATTGTAGGTGGGGTCACAGCAAGCTGCAAGAGGGGCTTCAGGAGCTCCCCCTGGAAGCCAGGTGGGCCCACATTCCACCACTGCTCACCGTCCACAGACCTAGGCACATGTGGGTTGGAGCTTAAACTCTCAAAATCATTCCAAATAGCTGAAAAACAACATTCTTTTTTTAGGCATCCTGTTCGCTTCCTGTGGTCTGGCTGACGACTTACAAAGAATTATTCTTTTCTAGCCACTGGGTTACAGTAATGAAGCCCACACTCAAACGCAACCCTAGAGGCCAGATGAAGGTGAGGCCCAGTAGGTTCAGGGCCTTGCTCGGAGTTGGCTGGCCTGCCGCTGTCTCCCCCGCCACCCAGCAGGCTAGGAACAAAAGCACGGTTGTCCCCAGAGACCACTGATGGCCCCAGGTCCTTTTCCTAAGGCCTAGGAGCAGACAGAGGGGACAGGAGCTCTGTGCCTTGTCTTTTATAGCTCGATTGTCTGGTTTTCATTTTTCTTTGACATTTGCATATGAAACAAGTATTATTTTTAAGTCATAGGACACATCCCTGCCCTTTTGAGTACCCCTATCCCCTACTTTTGAGAAAGAGCAAAGCCTGGAGGTACAGAAGGCTGCCACAAGACAGGGCTGCACAGACGGGAGGGTGGAGGAGAAACTCGTCCGCAGGGAGGCACACTGCAGAGCCAGCCCCCGCAGCCCGGCCCAGCCTGGGGCTCTGACATGGGGGGTCAGCGGGAACAGAGGCACTCACAGGAAATGACCGCCACCTAAGGGACTGCCCAGGGGGACCCCCACTCTTTCTTTTCTTTCCCAGCATGTGCAGATTTCATGATTTAAGTCTGCTTCCTGCCCTTGCAACAGGGGTCTTGAGAGATGCTGGAGTTTTCTAAATGAGGTGACACCTTTGGAAGTGCTTGATTAATGCCAAAGCTCTACACAAACGTCTGGAGTCATGATCATTCCTACAAATGAAAGGCTTTGCAAGAGTTCACCCACCTTGGGAAGGTTGCAGGCCAGGAGACAGTGCCTCTCTGCCCTTCCTATAATTAGTTTGGGGCCCCCCATGGCCTCTGTGTCCCACCTATGACGTGGGCACAATGGGGTCCTGGAATGGCCAGTGGGGTAGAGGCCAGACAGGGGACTGACACCATGGGGTGGATTTGTGGAACCTAAGCAGGACCAAGTCCAAATGACCATGTAAGGGGGCAAAGGAAAAGTTTACTTCCGTCTGCCCTAGATATTAAAGCCAGGGCTGATTCTACATCCTAATGTGTGCTAAATATGGTAAAAATCTCATATGTCAAAATTCTTCTTTAAGAAGTCTCACTTCGCAAGTGTTAGTGGTTGGTCTGGAGCCTGCACAATACAGGCTGTGGGGCCAGACGCCTGTTACTCCTGGATGTGTCACCTCAGGCACGTGACAGCTTCCAAACCTTGGCTTGCCACGATCAGGGGTAATATTAGCACCTTGTGCGTGGGGCACTCACAGACCTAGCACCGAACGTTCCTTAGCCATCATCATCACCAGCGCTGTCCAGCGTTTCGGGAAACCAGTTCTGGTTTTAGCACTACTGACACCAGTGTTGCTGTTGGCCATGGGCTGCTGCTGAAGAAGAAGGGGACACTCACAAGCTTCGGGTCTGCGCATAGAAGGTGCATGTTGAAAAGGAAGGTGGGGGGCGGGGGCGGGCAGCTGGCCCTGGAGCAAGGTGTTAACCACCTGCCCCTCACACTGCCTGGCCCCTGCTGCAGGTCAGAGGTGAGGCTGAGGCCTGGTACTCTCCTGCCTTCCTGGTCCCGGGGTCCTGCTCCCTCTGGAGCCTCCAGACCAGTGGCCAGGCTTCTCGGGATGCTCCCCATCTGGCACTCCCCTTTCTGCTCAGGACCCCAAGAGGACCCCTGACCTCACCTGGGGCTGGGGGCTGCTCCACCCCACGACGAGTGGCTGCTTTGGCTTGACTTACCTCTTGGCAGTCTTTGCTGGAGCTGTGGTCAGCTTCTCGAATTCGTCCTTCTCAGAGAAAATCACCACACTGTCTGCAGGTAAGTGGGAAGAATGAGGGTGAGGGGAAGGGAGCTGTAGTCAGTCCCTGGTTCTGAACTCATCCTTCCCTGCTTCCCTTCACTTCCTCTTTAGCAGGCCTGCCCGGTGACTAAGCCGCACCACACTTAGGGCACGATGTGGGGGCCCCGACGCCTCTTCCTGCTGCCCTGTTCTAGGGGGCATGAGAGCACCAGCAGTTGGGAGGCCAGGCTTCCGGGTGTTGGCGAGCGGAGCACACGACCTCCACCCTGGGATGGACACCCGTGCTGTGGGGGTTTGGTTTGCAGACCTTGGGCCTCTTTCTTCTCCTCTTCCTTGCTCACTTGGGCTTCCACGCTCTTCACTGGGTGGCTGGTACAGCAGGCTGGTTGGAGAAAGGGAAGGGTGTGAGGAGCCTGACTCACGGACTGGGTAAGCTGACAGAATGGAACCGTGGGAGAGCAAGCATTTGTGGGGAGGGAGTGGGGGGCATTGGGGAGCAGTCACCTGGAGCAGAAGGCTTTGTCTTCATGATGTAGAACATGATGATGAGGACAATGGCTATGGCCATGATGAAGATGGTGGACATGGCAATGATCAGGGCTGTGGCCAGGTGCCCTTGGCCTGAGAGCTCTGCTGGAGGCAGGGAGAGAGGGCAACACGGGGCTCAGGACTCCCTACAGGTGCCCCTGAGCCCCGCAGAATCCACCCTCTGAGAAGACCACGGTGCCTGTGGCAGGGAACACTTCCAGGGGACCCTCAGAATCCCAGACCCTACAGTTTGCCTTGACCATCATGGCTGGCCTTAACTGAGGCTGATCCAGACTTATCTGGAACACCATGCTTCAGGTTTGCTCAGTTGTTCCTGAGGTGCTTGCTCTTGGTATTACTACTTTGGGAACCCTGGGTGAGTTGGGATGCAGAGAGGAAGAAGCCCACGAACAAGTGTCATGAAGACAGTTGCATCCAAGCAGAAGTCACCTCGGAGGGCCAGAGATTCTGTTCTTGGTTTGGCGCCATCTTGTGTTTCATGCAATTTCAACCTAAGTGTCATAATCAGACTCCCAGGGCAAAGGTGGTGAAGGGGCTGCCACACCTCTTCCTCTGCTCCGTCACCTCACCACGGGGGTCCCTTCCCCAGGGGGCTCTCGCTGTTTTCCCCAATAATGCCTGCCGTCGACACGTGCGATGCCCTGCTGCTTGCTCTCATTCTCTGAACTAACAAACAGGATTCTGGTCCTCATGAGGCAGGATCCAGGTGACCCACCATTCCCATAGGAAAGGGACAAGATCTAAAGCACCGGGGACCCTCTGTAGGAGGCCGAGGCCATTTTGGAAAGAGGAACCAGAGCTCGTAGCCCCAGCACTGCCAGTTTCCACACCTGTCCTCCCGGGTGGGGTGTGTCTGCAAGAAATCATCATTTGGATGCCAGGTATGGATGATATAAGTGCTTTAATATTCACTGTGTTGTGTGCTATTCTCCGCCCCACACTCAGGGCCTGGTGGAAATGAGACTCCTATATCCTAGCAAAGTCTTCCAGCTTTGATGCTCTGTGAATATGCAAGGTCAGGTTTGGGGGGTTGATGCCAAGGCTAGCGTGCTGAGTGCACTGTGGGACTCCGAAGCGCCCCGAACCTCACTGAGACCTGGGCCTTAAATCTGCTTAAATAATGGATGGCACTGAAATAGCCCAATGGCAGCAAGGACCAGCGTGAGGCCTTGATCTGAGAGAGATGGGGGCCTCGGGGGCCTCCACCCTCCTCAAAGCCTTTCCATCCCTAAGGGATTAACGAGCAAAATGTAGTTCTCGGAAACTAATATTAAGTATTGGGCTCTGCAGGTTGATCTGAAAGCCAGCAACAGAATGGCTGTGGCCCAGCCACGGCTGGGAAGCTTGTTCTCTGCCGCCCAGCAGCCTGTATCCTGAGTACCACCCTGCGGCTCCAGGATGTGCCTTTCTTGCCAGTGTGTTCTAAGGGACCCCCGGCGCCCATGGAGAGATCGCTTCCACTCCTTGCGGACATCACGACCAGCTTCCCGCTACTTGGGGCACCAAGGAGCCCCTGCTGCCATTCCTCATAGCTGCTCCCAGCCTCCCTCTTCGCTTTCACCCAAGTGCCTTACTTGTAACAGCTGGCTAGCTGCAGAAGCACGGTCCTTACCTTTGTGGGCGTGCTGGAAGGGAGAGAGGGTGCTGCTGCCAGAGGTGCTGGGGAAGTTGGCAGAGACTCCGGAGCTGGCTCCTGCACCTGCAAGGGGAACCCAGTCACTTCGTGTTCCCCGGGATGACCTGGACGAGCCCCACCTTCAAGGACGGAAAGCAAGGTGCAGCTGCAGAGCCAGGGGATTTAGAATTCTGGATTACACAGGCGCTGCCCAGGGGGCGGCGGGACAGGGGACACTTTCATTTCTTAGCGTGTTTCATAATCCCTAACGAGCACTCTGACCTCCCAAGAGTTATTCTTCAGGAAGAAGACACATAGGTAAATCTGCTGAGACTCAACAGTGGTGCCTCACCAACTCAATTTTTCTATGAACAGAGGTAAAATATAGGCCATCCATAGAGATGAGAAAAGTCCATATATATACAGAAGGAGTGGGGGGAAATAATACTTGAGAAATTTCTTCAATTACATAAAATAAGAATGTATTTTAATACTTTTTCTAGTTATAAAAATAATATGTGCCATTATTAAAAATCAGGAGAAAAAGGGAACACAAGAAAGAAGTAAAAGAATCACTGATAGCCTCACTACCTGAGGTTGACAATTTGGTGTGTTTTCCTTTAGGATTTTCCTGTGATTCATTTTTTTAAATACTTGTGACCAAACAGTTTAAGAGCAGACATGAACTTTGCTTTCCCTCAAAACTGTGACTCATAAAACTTCCCTTTTCTATTTAAAAAGTATCACTTTAGCAGGGGTGAAATGGAAGCTGGTTTTGTGACCAATCCCGTCACTAAGGAATTGTTTGGTTAAAACAAAGCAAAAATGTTCTGCCACAGAAAACACGGCATCCTGATGGTCAACCTTCCTTTAGGTGGGACTTGAGTTCTGCTGTTGATAAAAATGATCCTATTTCAAATACGCGTCCTTCTGTCTGGCTTTTGTCTGTACGCGTGCTGGAGTAATCTGTGAAGTGGGCCTGCATACTCCCAAGTAAGGGCGGGTGAGCTGGCCTCCCCAAAGTCACACACCTGGTCCCCATAGCCCGCCCAGCAAGGAGGAGTGACGCTGACTCGGGGACCTTGGTCAGCCAGCCTCCAGGCTTCCGTGAGAACCGTCTCTAACAGGGACGTTTTCTTTAAGAGATGCTTCTCAGGAGAAACCACACTCTGTGGATGATAATTCTAAAGCCGCCTGCGCACACAGCATGGGGCAACTCAGAGACAGGGACCACAGCCAACCGGTGAGGCAAGTCCTGCTGAATTAGCCACACATCTGTGTCCAGTCAGGGACAAGGACATGGGAGAGCAGGGCCAGAAACATCTGCTCCTTAAACCCTTTCACAAATAGAAATCTCTGCAACTAAAATAGAGGGAAGCTTGGGAGGGCCCAGGGACAGGCTGAGGACTGGCTCCTGGGGTAACTGCACTTCTGTGAGGTGCTGTAGGTCTCAGAGCCGGCCCGTCGGTCACTTGGGTTGGCTGGGAATTTAACTGTTGGCCGCTGGATGAGAAATGTCATCTGCAGGCTCTTTAAACAACGCACGTACTGTGGGGGAAGCCCTGAGGGCTGTGAGGCACATACGCTCCCCAGCAACTCCAGGACCAGGGCTGGCCCGGGAGCCCAGGAAGGCTTGTTGGCCAGCACGGGATCTGCTGGTGCCGCCCTGCCATGCTTCCAGCCCATGCTGGGAGCCGTCTTGCCAAGTCTGAGCTCTCAGCACCAGAGGTGTCTCCTCTGTGAGGATTTGCTGCTTCTGGAGCCCAGGGACCTAGCTTATCTGGAGCTCCTGGCCTTGGCCCCTTCACCTGTCTCTGTCCCTGAGGGCCTGCCTCAGATGTGGACGCTGGTGGGCTCAGAGCACCACACGATGGACGGGGCGGTCTCTCCCTGCCGCAGGGCACCATGAGTTCTGTGGTTCCTGCTTCTTTCCTTCTTTCTCAGCTGTTGGTCGCCAGGACCACTTCTTCACTCTCCCACTATGAGAGAGAGGCGTGCTGAGGGGTGCAAGCAGGCCTGCCCATGGGGCCCGAGTGCTCACCAGCACAGGCTTCCCTTGAATGAATGCAGACTGCAGAGCTGACCTGCTCAGAGCAGAGGCTGCCCACCTTACTCCCAGCCCCCCACCCCGCCCCAGCTCTCGGGCCCCGGGGTCACACCCCTTCCTCCTTCAACGACAGTTGGAAGGGGCAGTTCTTCTGCTTCCTCTGCTGGGTCTTCCGGCGCCTGCGGTTCCAGGGAGTGGCCCTGCTGGTGACCAGAGCTTAGACTTGCCTTTCTTAGCTTGCCTTTCTGGAGCACAGGCAGAAACTTTCTCGGGCCCCCTACCCCTAAGCTCACGACAACTCTCTGCTTTTCCATTTAGCCTTCTCCCCTGGCCTCAGAACCAGTGGCCCCTTGGGAGGTGTTGGTGGAAGGTGCGCCCCCCTCCCCCTGTCCCTGCGAGGGCTCGTGCACGTGGCCGACCCTGGGGCTGGAGGCTCTGCTGTGTGCAGACCACGCGGCTCCCCTCCAGTGTGGCAAAGGAGGCTTCAATGGCATCCAGTCAAGTGGGGAAAGTGACGTGGGGCAGGGCTTCAAGCAGAACCTGCTTTCCTTTTTAAAAGCAAACATGACACTGAAAACAAAGCTAATCTATCTGTTTGGTAAGGGACTCGAGGGAGCTTAAGCTATTCCTCAGGGAAAAAAAAATACCCGTGGGATCTGTTTGTGGATTTGTCATCTTTGTCTCTTCTTGTCCCTTTCTGCCGGGACTTGCCAGCCAAGGCTGGGGGACAGGGGCTGGGGGCACACATGCGCCCAGGCCTGTGGTCCAGGGAGGAACAATGAGAACAGCCTGGCTGCACACTGACTTTGCGAGATGCCTTTGCGCCTGGCTGGCAGGGCTGCTCCCCAGACGCCGGCAGCAAACACTGCGTGAGGGCCGGGGCACATCGGTAACGCACGCCCCATCGCCCCCAGCGGGCGGCTCCTGTCCTCGCTCAGGTGGCAAGCAGGGCCTCTACCCCGGTGTACGACATTCCCCTCGAACTGAGCTCCAGCCAGTGTCAACTGAAGGGCCCTGGGCTGCAGGCGCTGGGCGGTCTGTGCTCGGCTGTTCCGTGATCCCTGAGCTGACCAGGGGAACGTTTTGTTCATCCCACGGTGAGAGGGAGGGTGGGCTGGAAGACCTCATGATTGGAGGTCTATCTCCGCGCACAGGTGCCCCAGGACAGCATGCCACGGCCACCAGCTCCCTGCACGGCAAGTTCCCTGTTCCAGGCCCTGCTCTGCTCTCATGAGCATTTGGTGTCTGGACAGTTTCCTTCCGCTCCAGTATGTGCCCTGTGTTTTGGGTTCATTTGGCCTCCTTGGAACAGATCATTAGATGAGAATGTTCTTCAGTTGTTGTTTCTGTTGGGTGGTCAACTACTGATCCATCTTACCCTGCATGATGCTCCCACTGGAGCTTAGCTTTGAATAAGCAGAGAGGAGATCCTGCAGGATAGGAGTAAGGGAGGGTTGATGAAAACTGCAGTCCCAGAAAATCGCCATGAATTGCCACACGAAGTCTACGTTAAAACGAAAGTAATAGGGCCTGGCTCTGCTTAGCTCAATGGTGTGTTCGGGGCAGCACTGACTTGGGACAGTAAGTACGGGAGGTGGCGGGCTCCGCACGGTGTTCATCCACTTTCCTCAAAAGGATTTTGAGAACTGTAAGCATGTGGCTTAATGCAGTAATACTTCTATTCAGTGTGATGACAGGATTTACGGGGCCTTTGAGGTTTGTTAATCCACACAATTTATAAACATGCCATATGTATTAAAGACTGCTGGGATTCTCTCTGCATGGGGCAAGCAGGTTGGATTTTCAGGAGTGATTTGTTTATTGATTCTTAGTTGTTGGCGAGGGTGCCCCCAGGCTGCTGCGTCGGCCCAGCGCCCCCCAGTGGCGGATCCTGGAACAATGGGCAGAGCCGTTCGAACCTGGCTGCTCAAAGTGAGGGTCCCCGGGAGCTTGCTGGAAATGCAGTCTGGGCATCCACCCCAGACCTGCTGCGCCAGGATCTCTTTTTTAACAGGACCCTGGTGACAGGTGTACGCATCCCAGCTTGAGAAACACTGTGTTAGAAACAGCTGGCCTTTGGGCCTTTGGGGATGCCAAAGCTTCACACTTGAGTGGCATCACTGTTGGGCATTGCACGATGGCATCTGAATGAAACTTGCCACAGCTTTCCTGAGTAGGCTTTTCCAAAAGGTGAGTCCATCCTGGGCCTGACACAGGGCTCGGTGTCTAATAAAAACAAAGAGGAGTGATGATAAACATGATGCCGATGGGACAGGTGAGTCCCCAGGCCCAGAGCTGCCTCACTGGTCCCTCCAGTGCTCTGTGAGGGAGGGCTCCTGCCAGCTGGGCCCAGGGGAGCTGACGGAGGACAGGAGGTCAGCAAGTCAGGTGCGGCCTGCGTGGGCCTGGGAGACCCGGGGTGGAGCCACGCTCACAAAGCCACAACACGGATTCCGTTACGAGACAGCTCTCAGGCGTGAGTTCTCAGGACTTTATTTCTCAGGAAAGAAAGAAAAGCAGACAGTGCTGGTTTACCAAGTGGATCTTGTTCTTTGCCTTCACTGAAAAATAACCGAAGGGCTTCTTCTCTCTCTTCCATCTGGTGCTGATTTCCAGGACAGACAGTGATGGGACGGAAGTGGTTTCTGTCACCACGGCGTCCAGAAGGAAGCCCTACACTTTCCTGATGGGCAAGGGTGGGGAGGGAAGGCCCTTCTCTCAAGGCTCTTCAGCACTCTGGGGGTGCCTGGAGCATCTGGGGGCCTCCCTCTTGCACTCTAGTGGTTTAGAGAAGAGTCCTCATTTACACTTGCTTTGTGTTTTCAGTACTCAAGGTATTTGGGGCGTGGATGTGTCAGCCCTATTGACATACTGAGAGGGTATAATTTTCTCAATTGTCCAGGAGAGGAAATAGACACGGAGGAAGGTTTCGAGGCTTGCAGGGTATTTTAGGGTCCCTGAGTACCAGCCTCTGTAGTAACTTCCACTAACTTCTGTTTTCATCAGGGATGACAACTGGCTCAAAGGCAAGATGATTGTAACCAATGGCCCCATCGCCCAACACTTCACAGAGCCACGTAGAGAAGCAACTCTTCCTCTAAGATGGAAGAGCAGTCGCCGCACAGAGAGACAGGGAGTGCCCCTGAGGGGGGCGGAGAGCTGAAGCAGCTCCTAGCCGGCCCTCTCTGCTGAGGAGCTCCCAACCCGGGCACCCAGGGCTCACTCCCGCATGGGCGTCTTCCCGGGAGCTGCCCGTCACCTCTGGCTGTCCCAGACCTAATACACACACTGCATGCTTTCCCCAGGGTCTGTGCCAAGTTCTCTGACCATGGCTTTGCACAGTCCGCTACTTATTGACTCAGGGTGGCTTCGTGCAGCAAGGACCCAGGGAAATCACATCAAAACCAGAGGAAGTGTCTCAGGTTGGAGGCAAAGGCGCTCTTGACCACTGACTGTAGGCCCAGGAAGGTGCCTGGTGGGGCTTGGGCAGCCAGCCGACATCAGGGTCATGATGCATGAGGTTTCCCTCAGTTCCTGCTTTCCTGGGGTGACGCTGTCAGGGGCAGCCCGGGGGTTTGAGTCCCAGGGTCTTCGTGGAAGCTGTGGTCATAACCAGCTTTTCTGGTTCTATCTGCTGCTCCTGAGGGTTTGGGGTCAAAAGATCTCTGGACTGAGGATGCCTGCAGGGGGAGGTGCAGAACCCATAGCTGGAGAGAGTAACACTCATGTCCACACTTGAGGCCCTTACCCAGGCTCCATGCACCATGTCACCCGACAAGGCCTAGCCAGTCGCCTCTCCCCATATCCCATACGGACACACAGAGGTCTGGTGGCTTGCACCCTGACTCTAAGTTTCACTGGTTTTGCTGGCCTCTTCTAGATCTGGCTGCTATGAGCCTGCTATGAGGCCTTACTGGGAGCTGGTTTTCAGTTAAGCAATTCAGGGCTGGGGGTTAGGGCAGGGATGCACTCATTCTCGAAGTGTCCAGGGCTCAGGGGCTTTGCTTTCTCTCCTCATGCCATGGACCCCACTATCAGATGGCAAGAGGAGGGAGGTGCCCCTCCAGCCGGCCAGGTGGTTATGGAAGTCCCGCACAGGGACAAACCTCACGTGTGAGCTGTTTTCCGGGTTCCACAGGCAGAGCCTTTTCAACATGGGTGGGGAGTGTCTGACATCTCAGTGAGGGCTCCAGCCCAGAACTGTCTGGTATTGAATCAGCTGGGATCCCCCAGCAGGAGATAGTGGTACGGTGGCTGACGTCACCACAGGACCTGCTGGCAGCCCAGAGTCCTTGGGCCTCCTCTACTTTTTGAATTGATGAGCATGTGGCTGGGTACAAAGCTCCGCTTTAAAGACACGCACATCCATTACTGCGGGCGCATCTACTGAAGCAATCTAGGAAAAAGGGGATACCCCCCTCCCCGCCGGCAGCCCTGCCACATGCTCACCTGGGTACCTCCTCTCCCCGAACCCAAAGGCGAAGGAGAGGGAGAGGTGGTCCCCCTCTCTTCCTGCTCTCCTTCCCCACTTCCCACTGCTCTTAAGGGGCAGGCCCTTGGTCTATTCTCCTGGGCAGGATTATTGGGAGCACATGGGGTGGGGGCCTTAGAGAGAGCTGGGAGAGGCAGGGTCCCCGCACAGCCCCTCTTCTGCCCTGCAGTGGGAGTGGGGCTGGGGGAGAGCAAGGAAGGGCTCCTGCGGCCCAGGGACCAGCTGTCCACCCACCCACCTCCATGGCGTCTCTCCAGACCACAGTTCCAAGTGGCTACACACTACATTCTCTGGAGCAGAGTTCCCTTCCTCACAGATACATGCAGTGAGGATCAACCAGAATGAAAACAGGAAAGAAACAGCCTATGGTGGGACTCTGAACTTGTGAGCCTCACTGCTCACATGGGCTTCGTGGAATCCGGTTCATTCACTGTGACCACTCCTCACCTTTCCCTCAGCCTTACCTGGTTTGAAAACACGTGTATGAGAACTTAAAATCGTCTAGCGCTTTGCAGGACTTTGCACAACACCTTGGCAACTATGATCTCATTGGTTTTCCCATGAACTGCATGAGAGGGGGGTTCAGATTTTTGTGACCCCACATTAGAGATGCGAAAACTCACGCCAGGTGGCAGGTGACCGACCTGTCTCTCACTCGCTAGCTCGGCTGCAGCAAACCTCCCTGCAGGGGTCTGTGCCAGGCTGGCCAGCCCACGGGAGCGTTTTTGGTTTTGCCCTGTCTTTCATCTGTCCAGGTGCTGGGACTGGCTTCCTTCTACACCCAGGGGAAGGAGAGAGACAGTGGGGAAGCAGTACCGCTCTGACGGAAGGACAAGAGCACTCACATTCCTTGGTGTGGGGGCGTGCCAGGAGGCAGGAGTAGCAGACCATGCCGTAGATGTTCCTGGGTCTGTTTTCCAACATGTAGTAGCTGCAGGGAAGGAGAGACAAGACAGAGCAGACGGCTGAGCCAGGTGTCACACAAGCAAGTACTGACCACTTGGCATGCCCATGCTTGGCATGATCCAAGCATGATCCAAGCATCACCAAAGGCAGGAATGAGACATATGCTATGGGAATCAGGAGCTCTCAGAGCCAGCTGCCCATTTTGACCACTGAGTTTCCTTGGGAGTTTTCAGCATGACTTGAAATGGAACATTCTTTTTCCAATATTGGGCCATTTTGGGCCCTTAATCTCTCCTGTTTGGTTCTTTTCACTGATGGATTTGCTCAGCGTGTGTGAGCGATCATCATCTTCATTCACATCAGTCACTGGAATATCTGCCAGTAGAACCTGATTAGCTCTCTGGGTGTCCCAGCCAGTGAGACAGAACCCCCCGGAGGAGGGGCACACCCTGACCCAGCGAGTGCCTGTCTCAGAGCGTCTAGCCTGGTGGGATTACTGGAAAATGCATCTATGAGCCCCTCAGACACTGGCACCTCCCAGACCTCCCGCACACCTGCTGAGACTGGACAGAGCTAGCCACAGCGGACAGAGAGATAGCGTCAGCATCTGGAGAGGTCAGTGCAGAAGGCCTTCAGCGTGGCCTGACACACAACCAGGTCGTAACTGAGATTGCTTTGCTTCCCCCCCAGTAAGCACCTGGCCCAGACACTGCCTAAGGGCAAGCGCTCACACTGGGGTTGTACACACTGAAGGAAAAGGACAAATCATTCACTGTAAGATGGTGAAGTCTTTCCCCCTATTGATGCCACATCTTTCGAGCTTCCCAATGTCAATGAGGCAGCCCCGGTGACCACGCTAGCTCTCAGAACGCCCTCCCTGCAGAGCTCTGCACCCTGGGTCAGAGCTCTCCGCAGGATCTGCCACCCCACCCACCCAGCAGTCCTCGCTTCCGGCGCTCACAGCTCAGGCTCCTTTCCACCTGCAGGTTTTGGCACTTCTCTTGGCGCGTGCCTGCTTTCCATAAACATACATTAGGTGGTAATCATGGAGCCATTTATCACATCATGAGAGGTCGATTAAGTAACGTGAGCTGGTGCCAAAGTTTTCCCTCATTACAAGTCAAGAGATGAAAAATCCCTCTCCACTACTGGATTTTTCCATGGTTGGTTTTTAATCTCTGTTTTATTAGCCGTGCACACTCAGGCCCCCACTGATGGCAGGGTAGGTGGCAGTGTGGCACAAGTGCTGAGAGGGGGTCTTTGGACTCCAGCAGCCATGAGCTGGACCATTACCAGTAACATTATGATTGTAATTGCCTGCCCTTCCTCAGGGCCTTTTATCCTCAGATCCCTGTGTATTTCGTGAACATTAATTAACCAATCTCAAAACACCCCTCAGAGAAGCCACAACAGCCAGTTTTCCAGATAAGCCTTCTGGAAAAAGCCTCTCTCAAACACACATTCTGCCACCCTCCAGAAGCCATCTGTGCCTGGGACGCAGGAAGCGACAGTGCGGTGGCCTGTGGTGCATCTGCTCCCACGAGGCGGCCTGTGTCTGTGTGTGGCCTCCCCGGGGTGACAGGCTCCAGGTCAGCCGCCAGATGCTTAACATCCAGACCCAGTGCTGGCACTTGGGGCTCTGAGTTACCCCTCACCTCTACCTCCAGCACAGTCCCCTGCCAGGGCAGGACTGTCTCTGTGGCTGGACTGGGAGTCCCTCGGGCCAGCCCCGTCCATATATGCATTCCTGGTACTTGCACTAGGTACTGAGGAGGGACAGTTTCAGGCCAACATTGGTTGGAAAAATAAATGAATGAGATGAAGTTCTTCTCCGTGGAAGTTCAAAGTTCACAGACTGACAAAAGCCCTGAGGGAGTTCTGTGCCTCTTTCCTCCCTTTTTAAAAAGCAGAACCACAGCGAGGCCCACCCCGTTTAACCCGGGGTGCTGAGCTCTGTCTTAGATGAAGAGTGCAGCCACCCAGCAGGCAGAGAACCCCGGGCTCAGGACAGCTCCTCGCTGGCTCCACGGGGCAGCCACACTCCATGCCACACTCTGTGCACGCCGGGGGGCCGGTCTGCTTCCCCTCCTCAGCACACGGCTCCTTCTCGCTCTCATCCCGAGTGGCTCTGGCTGGCTCCCACGGGGCTCGCAACAGCGGCAGCTGGGCCTCCTGTCCTCACCGCGCATCTGGACCAAGATGTGTGACGTATTAAATAACTTAGCCAAGAAACAAAATACCGAAAGGCAATCCATCTAAAAAAATGAGTCAGCTCCGGACGGCCGTTGCGGGATCTCACTGCCGGAGTCGGCGTGTTGACTACCTCACACATTTCCCGGCACGCACTGCTGCGCAGAACATTCTCAAGTGTGAGAGTTTCCTCCTCAGGACTAACCTCAGCAACTCTTGCTGTAGCTTACACCCAGATCTCCCTCTCACCCTGGCTGTGCAGGAGTGGGGAGTAATTGTTTGGGTGCCTATCTGACAGATTCCCATCAGCTTGAAGCCGGGTGTTCATTCAGGGGCCCGTGCCCCATCAAAGATTGTCGTCGGGTCCCTCCCTCTTTCTGTAGAGGCCTAATTTCCTATACTTGCATCTATGTTTAGACTTTTCTTAGTTCTTCTTTGTTTTTTTCCTCAAAGGTTGATTAAGGTAAGTAGACCAAGATAAAACTCAGGTTAAACGGGGCCTCTGGGGGCGCCTGGGTGGCTCAGTCAGTTAAGCAGTTGCCTTCCGCTCAGGTCATGATCCTGGAGTCCTGGGATCGAGCCCCATGTTGGGCTCCCTGCTCAGCGGGGAGTCTGCTTCGTTCTCTCCCTCTTCCCCTCCCCCTGCTAATGGGCACAGGCGCGTGCGCTCTCTCTCTCAAATAAATAAATAAAATCTTAAAAAAAAAAATGGGGCCTCTAGAATCTTCTATGAAGGGACCAAGTTCCTCCATGTCAATAGATACATAGATTTCCTCCAAAGATTTCCTTGCCTAAGCTTGTAATGGATGCCACTGAGCCATTGGATGCTCCACCTTCCCACACAATGTGGCATGTAGAACCGTGTCCTTCACCTGGTCCTCCAACCACCCCAGAATGCCTTATTTGAAGGGAGGAGATGTGAAGTGGAAGCCGGCCAACAGAAGGTGAGATGGGCCACAGCCAGCCGTGGGTAAGATGATGCCCTGGCAGGGGGCGGAGGCAGGCTACGAAATCCAACCTAAGCTGTCTTCCTGTTCTCCTGTTTTTGTTCCTGGTCCTCCCACGCAGCCTTGCTCAACAGGAAAGCCGTGTGTGCTCATTGTTCTGCCAGCATCTTGGCCACATACTGATGCACAGCAGAGAGGGCAAAGAAGGAGCACGTGCCTGCCAAACCACAAGGGGGCCAGGGCCAAGGCAACCTGTGGCGTTAGGAAGACAACTCTGAGGCTGCCTGCATTGCGGCCTGGCAGCCACCCGGACTCAGGAATGAAAGCAGCCTTTCACCGAGCAAACAGGGCCAGCTTACCAAAACCCCTTGTAATCCTCCCCCGTGACACAGCATGAGAGCTTTATTTGTTCCCTAGACCAAGGGCGGGTAACAGGAGGTAGGAGGCCCTGGCGCCCTCCGCTGACACGCACCAAGCTCCACAGAGCCCGTAGGAGGAGGCTGGGGGACCAGAGATAAAGTAGGGCCTTTCATGGCAGTGGCCTCGGGGGTTGGGAATGACAAGGCCAAACTGGAAAGCAACTACATCTTCATATCCGTGGAGCAATGTGAGGACGCACTGAGATGCAAGTGGAGATGTGTCTCCAGCACAGCGGCCTTCACCCACTGAGCGAGTGTCCTGGGGGCTGGAGACAAGGCGTGGAAGAAGCTGGTCGCTATTCTCACGGAGCAGGGAGGGAGTTACTCAAGACTTCAGAACTGGGAACACCCTTTTAAGAGTATAGATGTCAGCCTCCCCACTAATTCTACAGATAGTCATCCTTATCTTTTGAAGCCTTCGAGAGGCAGGGCATGCACAGCAATTCCACCGGCAATCCTCTTTCTGGGAAATATGTGAGGGCCAAGGAAATTGTCTTCACTGCCACAAAACAGCCTTTCTTGTGACCATGCTGGCCCCTGCCTACAGGGCAGGGTTATGTACTGCACTGGCCCCAGGGCTGTGCTTTCTGGCTAGAAAGTCTCTGTAGATCTAGGTAAGAATGAAACAGACTGTTCAAAGTTCATAATCACTGCCCCTTTTAGACCATCTGGAATAATCTCATGGTTGAATCTCACAGACCACTGTGGGATGCATGCATGGTTTGAGCCACGGCTGCATGGCTGGGTCAGAGCCAGCAATGCTGTGGGCGAGGCTCCGTTCTGCACCTACCCTTGCTTCCCCTCTATGAAGCTGCCTCACTGGAGGAGCCTATCTGGACCATCGACTCCCACACCATTCATGCAGAGATGGCTTCCAGATCCGACCTGAGCTTCTGTCAGATACCTTGGTCTGGATGTTACAACCACCTCAAATGCACACGTGGGTCCTCCATCTTCCCTCCACCTTCCCTCCACTAATCCCAATCCTCCTGTATCCTACATCTTAGCAAATGGCATCACTGTCCACACAGCTGGCCAAGGGTGACATCTGAGATTCCTCTTCAAGATCTCCTTCCCCACACCCCACATGCCCTCGGTCTACAACTCCAGTCCATGCTATCTATCTTCCAGTGAACTCAGATTTTCCCTCTCCTTCCAACTTCCAAGGCTCCCATCTTGACCCAGTTCTCACAATGCCCCTGGGCTCCCATGTCTTCCTTAGCAGCACATTTTCCTCACTGCTGCCTCTTTCCAAGGTACTGCCCAGTTGTGTTCTCTACCAGCTTAAAGTCTGCATGGTGGCCCGCTTCAGCATTGAGCTAAAGACCAGTGTCTGGAGCATCATTTTCCAGAGCCATTTCCCCTCTGGCCCCTGCACCCCTCGCTGGTTTCTCCACACCCCCATGGGTGCGCCTTCCGTGCTGCCACAGGGACCCTCAGCTCCATATCCCATCAGGTGGCTTGCCCCTCTGAACTTTGCCCTGAACATCTCAGAGAGCTCTCTCCTAATTCTTAGCCTGACTAACTCCCACCATCCCAACATCACCTTCTCACCTCAGAGAAGTCTTCTGAGACCCCTCCCGACCCACCTCCCTAACCATGAAGGGAGGGGTCCTTCCTGGACTTCTAGAACGCCATGGGCACCTACCACACTATGCTGTGGTCACTGATTTCCTTGTCTCACTACCTCACAGAAAAGAGGAACCATGTCTTTCCTCTTGGCCTCACTAGTTTCTACTTGGTAGGCTCTTAATTCATGTGTTTCCTAAAACAAATGCAGGAGCAATTAGGCTAGGTTGCGAATGTCAGGTCAGCTTTTCACACCGAGAGGCTCTCAGAATGAGTTGAGATTTTGAAAAGAGGATTATTTGCTTTCCAAGGTGAACATGGCAAGGGGTGCATGCTTTTCCTTGGCACACCTATAGTTAGTCCATGAAACTCTGTCGTGTCATGCCTGCACCAATAAAAACTAGTGAAGATGAAGTTCCAGGAAGCAGACACTTTCTCAGAGCCTAATTCTACCCACCTAATAAGAAGATCATACTGAATTTCTCTCATTCAAGCACAGCATCTGTGCAGAACAGTCTCTCAATGGACGCTTGTACCATTCATGGGGGTGGGGGAATGCCTCGATTTTTCTTCTTCTAACATGTTCCTTTTGGTGGATCCCCCACAATGCAATAACCTCAACAAATAAATTAAAGACTGTCAGCTACAAAACTTTTATTTTTATCCTATTATTCAAGAGACAGTCTAATATCTTCCCTAGGTATAGCTATCTGCTTTTTTGCATATTGAAAAATAAGCCTCTGCAGTAAGGTTCCCCTGCTTTCTTTATTCATTTGACCATTGTGTTTGAATCACACGCTGTCTCAGGGACACTGACATGGAGTTATCAGGCAGATATTTGGAAATGCAGGTCTGTGGCTCTGGAGGTAGGTCTGAACTGAAGACAGAAAACTGGAGAGAGTAGGGGTGGGGGATGGTCACCAGCAGAAAGATGGAAGATGAAAGCCATGGGAATCAATGCTTCTCTGTAACAAATTTGAACTAAGGTTAATTTCTGCAAGTTTGTAAGGTCTCCTCATTTTAAAGAATTATTCAATTCCAATCTATTCTTAGGTTGGTGGGTCTTTCTGCCTTCTTTGTATTTCCTTCTCCTTACAGACTAATGCCTCATGTTCTTATTTGCGTATATCCTTCTTACTTTCTTTCTTCTCTTAATTCAGTACAATGATCCAGAGAAGATAATGTGCACAAGTGGGTTGCAAAGTATAGTGTGCTATTCAAAATGCCACTGCTCACCACCATTACCTCCATCATCACCACCATCTCCTCCAGCATCACCTCTATCATCACCACTGCCTCCATCATCAGCACCTCTATCATCACCAGCATCACC